AAATTATGTATTTAGAATTAGCCAGCTGGACTCAGTTTTGATGATCCCAATTTTGTTGGCAACATCCAATGCATCATAATCGGGAGCCAGTCGAACATATGCCTTCTTCTCTCCATCAGGCCTGATTAGGGTATTGACCTTGGCAACATCGATGGCATAGAACTTCTTTACAGCTTGATTGATTTGGTGCTTATTGGCTTTGACATCCACAATGAACACAAGTGTGTTGTCCTTGATCTTTTTCATGGCTGACTCTGTGGTCAGGGGGAACTTTATGATGGCATAGTGGTCAAGCTTGTTGCTCCTGGGGGTGCTCTTCCGAGGGTATTTGGGCTGTCTCCAGAGCTGCAGTTTCTTGGGACAGCTGAAGGTGGGTGACGTTCATATCTTCTTTTTGTGGCTGTGGGTGCCATTTAGTACGGCCTTCTTGCCCTTCAAAGCTTTTGCTTCGACTTCAGCTTTGGGAGGGGCAGGGGCTTGCTTCTTCACCTTCAGTGCCATCTTGGTAAAAAAATTTTAAAAAGTATAGTGATTTTTTGTGGGGTTTTGTTTTGTTTTGTTTTGTTTTGAGACAAATTCTCACTATGTAGTTCTGGCTGGCCTTGAGCTCACTGTTTATCCCAAAGAGGCCTTGAACTCACAGTCATCCCCCTGTTTCAGCCTTCTGAGCGCTGAGATTATAGGTGTGAGCCACCAGATCCAGTTTAGGTCCAAAAATCTTTATGGTTAGACAAAACACCAGAAGCAGAAGGAAAATAACACCACAAAGGAACAGCTCAGCCTGAACAATGTAATGGTCCCAGCTAATACGTCGGAGGGGGTTTCTATGCTCTTTTATGTTCTTAGGATTAGAAATAATGAACTGCAGATGAATTGGTACTGCATAAAGAAACCTCTTTTTTTATTTTAGCAAATTGCTAATTTTGTGGCACAGTGATTGGGTTGAACATAGTTCCAATTAAAGTAAAATAGTGACTGATCTCCTCTTCTTCCTGGGTGTGCAACCCAGTGATTGAATACTGATTCGGTGTCTTGAATATCCCTAACTGAGCAATGTTTGGTGCTGCTTCTCTGCTCTGAAGCATCTCCATTCTTCAGGACTCTCACCATTCAAACATGACAGATAAAATACTCAGTTATCCCTGTATAAATCTTTTTATTTTTCCTATTGCTAATTTGTCACACACACACACACACACACACACACACACACACACACCCCCGGCTTTTATTTTTATTTTTTTCTCTCTTTTGGAAACAGAGTCTCACTATGCAATTCAGGCTGGTCTTGAGCTCTTTTTGTAGCCCAGGATGGTCTGATGGTCTCAAAATTACAACAATCCTCTTGCCTCAGCCTCCTGAGTGCTGGGATTACAAGTGTGCACCACCATAGCTGGCTTCCCTTAGACTTTAAAAAAAAATTTTATCTGATGTTCATGAAGAGAGCATATTCTTAGAAACTATGCTGATAATATAAGAAAATTTTATCTAAGAAAGTACATTTCTTGGGGGCTGGTGAGATGGCTCAGTGGTCTAAAGCACCTACTTAGAACAAGCTTAGCAAAGCACAAGGACCGCGGTTCAATCCCCCAGTACCACATGCCAGCCAGCCCCGCCTCCTGGTGGGCTGAGCTGGCCACACACACACACACACACACACACACACACACACACACATAAATAAAATTTAAAGAAAGAAAGTACATTTCTTTACAGAGCTGTGCTATACCATCTTTTGGACCCTGTACTGGAAAAGTAGAATCAAATCTGAAATAATGCCTTTTTAATGATATATTCTAGTGTTATCAGTGCAGCACAGTACTGTATCATACTTTATGGTACACAATAATGACTATGCTTTGTCAGAGATATTTTTAATGAAGTTAGTCTAGAATGTTTTCTTTCCAGATAATGATTGAAAAGTTTTTAAAAAGTTCCAGGTACCAAAATAGGTACAAAACTTGGCTGTTATTTAGGGTTTTGTTTATTTTTTTTAAATGAAGTGTGCTAGATATCCATATAATTTTGTTTGGATGACTGTAGAACATGGAAAAGGTATTGCTGTTTTTATGCAGAGCATACTATTACTTGAAGTGGTTTTTGTTTGTTTGTTTTTTGGGCTGGCTCAGGATGCCTTCAGAGCAGGTCTGGTAAGGCTTGAGGATCTGGGGATGGAACCACAGCATCCTGATTGCTTTGTTTAAGCAGTCACTTAAACAACTGAGCTAATAGGCAGGCCCCAAAAAGTTCAGAAGTGGCTTTTTTTTATTACTTGAGATTTATATAGAGAGAATCCACAAAAAAAATGTATACATACTTCAGCAGTTCACCATCCTAGTAAATGTCTCAAAGCTCATGGCCACCACTTTGAGTACCTCTTGTCATAGTAGAAACCAAAGATAACTTGTATTAATCTCATAACATTTCAGTGTTTATTAAGATATTCATACAAGTTTTTCTTTTCCAGAAAGGTGTTTATATTTTAAGAAGTCTCTTTCTTTCTCTCTCTGTCTCTGTCTGTCTGCCTGTCTGTCTCTCTGTCTCTCTCTCTCTCTCTCTCTGTATATATGTATAATCTATGTGTTTTTGGAAATGAGCTGTGCTGTCAACTTTGGAAATAAGATCCCAGTTTACTGTTGTGTTTCTGGCATTGTACAGAAATTAACAGCCATATTATTCTGGACACAATGGTTTTCCATTTGTGCAAGGGTAGTACACTACATTAAATATG